GACTACCTTTTAGGTGAAGCTGTCTGGATCCATTAGCAGCCAATACTTGACTGCTCTGCTTATGGCTGCTCCACTGGCTTTAGGAGATGTGGAGATTGAAATCATTGACAAACTAATATCTGTACCTTATGTCGAAATGACTTTGAAGTTGATGGAGCGATTTGGTATATCTGTGGAGCACAATAGTAGCTGGGACAGGTTCTTTGTCCGAGGAGGTCAGAAATACAAGTAAGTCTGTTTCTGGTCATTCTAATGGCTTGTAAAGTTTATCTCCAAAAACAGCTGGCGTAAAGATTGATGAAATATTAGGTCTCCTGGAAAAGCTTATGTGGAAGGTGATGCTTCAAGTGCTAGTTACTTCTTGGCTGGTGCAGCTGTCACAGGTGGAACCATCACTGTTGAAGGTTGTGGAACAAACAGTTTACAGGTATTTCTCAGGCCATTTTGAGCCAGGGTAGGGGGGTTGCATGCTGAATTTCTCTGTTATCTTTCCACGTTGGCTCTGTGGTAGCATCCTAATGTATACTCACATGTTGTCCGTCAACAAGTTTGGATTTAGTTAGGCCTAAATTAATATTGTGGATGAGGCACTCTTTACATTAGCACCCAAGTAGAGGACTGCAGTGAGATGACTTTCAATGTTATAGTTAAAATATCTTGATTGTGTCTTTATGTTTGTCTTCATGAAGGGGGATGTCAAATTTGCTGAGGTTCTTGAGAAAATGGGAGCAGAAGTTACATGGACAGAGAATAGCGTCACAGTTAAAGGACCTCCAAGGAATTCTTCTGGAAGGAAGCATTTGCATGCCATTGATGTGAACATGAATAAAATGCCTGATGTCGCCATGACACTTGCTGTAGTTGCACTTTTTGCTGACGGTCCCACTGCTATAAGAGACGGTATGGCTAGCTTTGCTTTCTAACAATCAGATCGAATTTGAAGTTCTCTTTTTAATTTATTCATATTTAATTAGCTGAGTGAGACCAGATGCACTATGCTGCAATATCCATAGTACAATAATTTTCTTGCATAATAAGTACAAAATATAAACTGAAAATATCCACTAAGTTTCAGGCCGTGTGCCTCTGGCCCTTGGGAGTTAATCAGTTATAGAAAAGAATACACTGGAATTAAAACATAACTATTTTATAGCAAAGTGGTTTTAGAAATATGTATCTTCTGAGGCTAGGTTAGCAAGGAGAAAAAAGTGAACTCATCCATCTTCAGTATGTTTTTTTGTAATTAGTCTATCAAATTAGGATGGGGTCACCCTCTTTGTGGGTTAATTATGGAAACCTCAGACATAAGTTCAATATAAATTTGATTGCACATGCACCATGGTATAGCTTTGGCCTCTAGAAATTGTGTTTGTTTTTTTTTTTGTGATGGTGAAACTTAAGAAACCGCCACAAATGGAGAAGTTTCTGTTGTTTTCTCTCCAAGTGTGTAATTTAAATAAGGCTCGACATATATATGTCGCTGAAGTCTGACGATCTACATATTGCAAATAGGTATGTGCATTATTCTTCTGTTAACATGTACATGATCCTAAACAAGTATAAATGTTCACATCTATGAAGAGCTTAAGCAGATAAAGATCTGTATTGTAGTTTTGCTGACTAAGTTTATAATGCAATGGCTTAAATATATTAACCTTAAGCAGCGGTTTTATTTGAGCAGACCATAATGTTCTCAGGGAACTTCTTTTCTCTTTTTCCTGGTCTTCCACCTTTCTTTATTGTGCACTCTCCTCTCTTATCAGTTGCTAGTTGGAGAGTCAAGGAAACTGAGCGCATGATCGCCATATGCACAGAACTTAGGAAGGTAAACTTGTAGAAATTATCCTCGTAGATTTCGTTCTTTTTTTTCCCCTACTCTTACCTTTTTGCATGAAAATTACAGTTGGGAGCAACTGTTGAAGAAGGACCTGACTACTGCATAATCACCCCACCGGAGAAATTAAATGTGACCGAAATTGATACATATGACGATCACAGGATGGCCATGGCCTTTTCTCTTGCTGCTTGTGCAGATGTTCCAGTCACCATCAATGACCCTGGCTGCACGCGGAAAACCTTCCCAAACTACTTTGATGTCCTTCAGCAGTACTCCAAGCATTGAAGCCACTTCAATATGTAGTAGAGTGTAAGTAAAAACATGTGAAAGAATTTAGTTCTTGTACAACAAGACAGGCTATTGCTGGTATCTGAACAACACAATGACTTTGACTTATTTAATTATTTGCCATGTGATCATGTTCAGTGTATTTGTTGAAGTTGAGCTGTTTATTTTTTTGTTTTTGAAGGAATGTATACTGTAACAGAGTTGAGAATTTTCCTTGTATGAGCAAATGTAAGGAGTACTAGTTCTATCATCTAATTTTATTGATTGAATTTTGTGAATGATCTGGTTAAGTCACTGGTTTATTTTGTTATTCTGACAGTACACAGAGTATAGAAGGTTAGTAGGTAACAGTGTCCGTTCGTATTTGTAGTTTCTTGTTCATTGCTTAAAAAGTAGGATCTTTTGCCTTGCTTACAAGTTTGTTTCTCTTTTAATACCTAAAACTAAAATGTGACTCTCACATGACTCTGTCTCCTTAAAGGCCTTTAGTATTAACTCAACACCACAAACTTCAAGTTTCTTGCCTAAATAGAGAACAAAGGCATGTTGAGATATATCTAACTTCTGTCTATTTTTATTTATTAATCAATATAAAATTTCAAGAGATAATTTGTTATTTTATACTAATTTCATTCTTATTATACAAAGACTAAGCTAAAATTTAATGTTTTGGGGTTCTAAAATAGCGAATAGAGTATGACCTTTTTTGGTTACAACATATTAATTAAGTAAAAAAATACAGACGATGATTATACATCGTTATATTTGATATTTTAGTATGAATATAAGGTTTACGACAAAATCTACTAGGTTTGTCCGAATCTCGTGTAATACAATAGCTCCGTCCCTATTATTATTACACACTATAAATTTTTAATTTATCTTTTCGATGAGTGAGACGACTTATAATAATTATATTGATATAACAAAATTGTCACGTTATTCATTATGTATCAGGTTAAATATAAACAAGTAATGATGGACGATATGATAATGCAATGAAATAATATAAGAAAGTATAGTAATGAATCGAAATGTGATTAAGAATATTAATAAATATAGCTTGATTATCATAGACCTTGTAGCCTTTAATTAAAAAATTGTACATTGTCAACCTCACAATGAATATCACTATGGTCTTAAACAAGTACCAAGTCAATACAGTATTAAATTATATAAAATTATAATCTAAGATACATTTGAACTATTTCTTATAATTTAGAGGTAAATATTTATGTTATCTTTTTCCTTAAAAACTTATAGCAATGCTTCGACGTACAACTAAATCTCATAAATGGAAAGAGGAAAACCATAGTGTTAACATATTTGGAGCACAAATTTTGGAACATTTTTCTATCAAGGCACTTATATTTTCTCAACCCTTCGTGCTTTATTAGAATACAAATTATTTTGAGTTAAATAAAGAATAAGTGAATATCATGATTTGTACTTTGTTTGATTTATTTGAACTTTACAAGACATAATCTTGTATAGAAATGGAATTATGAGAAAAAGAAAGCATTTTTAGAGATATATATTTGCCAGAAGTTCATAATATATAGTAATATTCTAGTATTTGAGATTTGCCATATATAAATATGGTAATCAAGCTACTTTCCATTTCCTTTTTAATTCAATAAAGATACGTACTAAAAAACAAAACAAAATGAAAGTTTTATTGCTCGGGAAAGTAGGGATGTTATAAGAATATGAAAATCGATCGAATTAATTATATCGAATTTATTTATATTATATTTTCAATAAAATTTTGGATTTTTATGTAAGAGATTTTAACAATCAGAGGAATCAGGAGAAAGAGATGGGTTGGATACTAGAATCTGTCCAAATATCTTGACTTTTTTTAGCAGGGCTTGGACCCGTATCTAGGCAACTTCGCATTAAGGCGCAACGACTTTTGCACAGCTGCTACGCCCTCGCTTGTTGCCTTTTCTTTTACTAAGAAACTAATCTAAATAAAAGTCGATTTTAATTATGAAATGGAAACACCGTCACTTTTACGTCGTTGATTAGGATATCATCAACTAGTAAAGCATAGTCAATAAAAAGAGTTATATTCCTCAGATATACGTTTTTGGTGTCAACCATACCCCATATAAATATAATAGTGTGACATTGCAAATAGCATAGATCTCACCAATGTAAAGACGGGAAAGATCTATATTGTTGATCTTTCGATATCAATATTCTACTCCAGATAATCATAGTCTCTAGATAGTCTAGCCAAGATTTCAATTGTGATAGAGTAGCCTTTTCTTCCCTTTTTAGGAGATATGATGATCTATAAAAAAATATTTTTGGTCATTCTTCTCTCTAAAAAAAGAAAAAGCATATTGTTCAAAGAAGGTAACTTGTAATTCCCTTTTCGAATAGTATCTGTATTGTGGATGATTCAATTTGTGCGCGTATAAACGATATAATTTCATTTTTAAAATTTTAAATTAGTGAGGAATGTGGATATTCAAACTTATCAAATCCCTATAAATCTTTCTCACCAACCAATAAGGTGTTAATTAGGAGCCCCTCATAATTAGTCCCTAAATTTCGTCCATTTCATCTCCAACAAACCATCCTTATTTCACTAAAAACCTTAATCCCCTTTTCTTAACAAAATCAATAAACTCCCCCATATTTATCTAAATAAACACCTCTAAATTAATTACATTTTCCCAATATTTCAAGAAACTCTCCTCATATTTAAACTAACCAAATCTCTATGTTAAATAAAGACCTCAAAGTTAATCCTTTAATTTTCCAAAATAAGTAAACAATTTAGGAAAATTAAAGGCCTCAAAATTAATTCTTTTTTTTTTAATCAAAATCAAGAAACTCCATACATATTTAAATGCCTCACATTTAAGGTTTCATTTTTTTTTAATCCTCCACCAAACAAATACAATAATCTCCCTCCTCCCATCCCCCCCAACTCTTTCTCCTCCAAGAACCTCAATAATGGTAAAAAAAAAATAAAATTAATCTTTCAATTACAAACATCTCTAATCAAAGTTTAAACTAATCCATTTTTCATAATTTTTACATTTTTTTTTTGTTTTGACTTTGTTCTTGGATCTTGATCTCCCCCTACCCACCTAATAGTCCACTCCAAATCTTTCATTATTCCATTTTTAAATTCTTCAAACCTCATTCTTCTCCCTCCCTAATTAGTCCACCCCCTTCTTAATCTCTTCCTCTAATCACCCATTTTCTTCATAAAAATTCAATCTTTACTTCATTTCAAGAAACCCCACAAAGTAATCTTGAACAATAACCAATCCCTTCAAGAAATCAATAAGATTCTTATTCTTATAGATAAAGTGCTAAAATTCCCCATACCCCTTTTTCTTGTTTTCCTTATCCCCATTTACATTATCAAGAATCAATCTTTCTTTCATTGGGGGCAAAAATATAGAGAGAAAAAGGAAAATTTCTCAAACCCTAATCTTGATTTTTGTTTTTAATCAAGAAAAACCAGTGGAAAAAGATTTGGAGAGTTTCTTGATTTGGGTATTGTTTAAATTTTCAAGATTTGTTTAGAATAATGTCCCAAATGAAGCACATTGATAATACTCCATCAACCCCAGGAAAATTCAAGATTGAAAAATCACCTTATCATAGGCTTAGGCTACAATTTTCTTTAGCCAAGATCATTTTTTGGTCACTTGTTTTTGTGGGGTTAATCTTTGTATTCTTTTACAGATCACCATCATCTTCCTCTCATGTTTCTTCAGATCTCTTCAGGAGATCTCTTAGAACAAGCTCTTATGGTGGTCCAGCTTGGGAGAAAAAGATTAAGGCTTCAACAAAACCAAGGTCAAGTAATGGTCTTTGTGTGTTGGTAACTGGTGCAGCTGGTTTTGTAGGAACACATGTATCAGCTGCTTTAAAACGCCGCGGTGATGGCGTGTTGGGGTTGGATAATTTCAATGATTATTATGATCCCTCGCTCAAAAGAGCAAGGCAAGAGCTACTAGAGCGCTCTGGGGTGTACATTGTTGAGGCTGACATCAATGATGCCACCCTCTTGAAGAAACTTTTTGAAATTGTTGCATTTACTCATGTTATGCATTTGGCTGCACAAGCCGGTGTGCGATATGCTATGGAAAATCCTAGCTCATATGTGCATAGTAATATTGCTGGACTTGTTAATATGCTTGAGGTTTGCAAAAGTGTTAATCCTCAACCTTCTATTGTGTGGGCGTCGTCTAGTTCTGTATATGGATTGAATACTAAGGTACCCTTTTCAGAGTGGGATAGGACAGACCAGCCTGCTAGTTTATATGCTGCTACTAAGAAGGCTGGTGAGGAGATTGCTCATACCTATAATCATATATATGGGCTTTCGATAACTGGATTGAGGTTTTTCACAGTTTATGGACCGTGGGGGCGGCCAGATATGGCGTATTTCTTCTTCACTAGGGATATTTTGAAGGGAAAGTCAATTCCAATCTTTGAGGCAGCTAATCATGGCACAGTCGCAAGGGATTTTACCTACATTGATGACATAGTTAAGGGTTGTTTGGGGGCATTGGACACGGCTAAGAAGAGCACCGGAAGTGGTGGGAAGAAGAAAGGTCCTGCTCAATTGAGGGTGTTCAATTTGGGCAACACTTCACCTGTCCCGGTATCTGATCTTGTCAGCATTTTGGAGAAGTTGTTAAAGGTAAAGGCTAAGAGATTGATTATGAAGTTACCAAGGAATGGAGACGTGCAGTTTACTCATGCAAATATTAGCTTGGCTCAGAAGGAGTTTGGGTATAAGCCTACCACAGATCTACAGACAGGATTGAAGAAATTTGTTCGATGGTACCTTAGCTACTATGGTAATGGAAAGAAAAGCGCGCAGTGATACATTTCGACTCAATGAGTGGTAGGACAATTAATTCTTTTCACTTTGATTCTTATGATTATTTTCATGTATCTCCAGCTTGTTGCCCCCCTTGTGTTTTTTTTTTTTCCCTCCATATCTTAATGATACCAATATAAGGGGCACATCCAATCCCACGACGAAGAATTTGTGGTGGATGAACGGTGTTTGCTGGGCAAGTTGATATGTATCAGATGCAAACTGAAGCCATCTTTTTTTTTTTTCTTCTTTTTCCACTTTTGAAGTGTAATTGTTGTAGTTTTATAATTGTAGAATTCATGACAGATAGAGCTGCTGCTGATTGATGGATACTGATCATGTATCATCTTTATCAGATTCTAATAAACATAGCAGGATAGTTCTATATTTGGTTCACTCTGTATATCTTTTCAAATTGAATATTTCCTTGTTAATCAAAGATGATATTGTGCTCTAGGTTGATGATTTTGGTTAATCCTGTTATGTGTTTTTATATTGCCGCAACTTTCTGATATTTCTTCTCTGTGATCATTCCTCGTACATAGTTGCTGAAGTTAGATCCTTCTAATTCGAAATATAGATTATGCATCTCATGTTATACTTTTAAAAGTTGATTATTTAGGGTCATTGTAATAATACTCATAAAAAAATTAGGGTCATCGTAATAGATTGGTGCAGTTCTTTCCTTTCTCTGGTTTTTCTGGAACTTTTGTTTCGTGAAGAAGAGAAAAAAAAAACTGAGGTGGGGGTATAAGAATTCATTTGAAGCTGCAATATGGTATATGGCAAAAAAATGCAGGACTATAGAGCATACTAATCTCAAGATGCACAAAGTAAGCAAATAGTTACTTCTAGTACACCACAAGAGAGAAGTGATTACTAATATCTTCAGGTTGCTAAGACCTTAGAAAAGGTTAAAGCCTCGGTCCTGCAACTCTAGGTTCTCTGTTTACCTTTTTTTCATTTAATTATTGCAGCACCCTTGACCCTATTGTTCCAGTTCAACCGGTGAAGTAGTTAGATAGAGGAATCATGGAAACAGTTTGCTTTTCATCTTCACTGCCTTTCAAGTTTAATATCAGAAAGCTAGTGTTTGTATTAGTACTTCTTTTACTTGTTACAATCCTCAACAGGAGATATGAAACTTTAGCCATGAAAATGTTGCATCTTTTGATAAAATCTCGTCTTTCTGGAGTTTAGCCTTCACCATCTTGTTAACGTTAACTTTCATACATAAGCATGTTGCTGGATCATACAAACTTTCATGCCTTTCACTTCTTGGAAGATTAAAATGTTTGGAACCTTAGTTTTTTCTCCTCTTCCCTTCTGAACACAGTGATGTCCAGAAAAGGAAGAACGTAGCAGCAGGGTGTGGATACGCTTCTGTCTCATGGGTTTCTCTCATCGTAGTTACTGCTTTTGTCCATGGCTGTTCAAATATGATTTGTTGGAGACGTTAAACTCGAACTGTATCTAGATTTTTTAATTTTGCCTCTGAAACAAGGCATTAAGATATGTAAAATGTCAAAGGTTGCATGCTTGCTGGGAATGATCTTGGGGAACTGTTGGAGGAATATTTAAATAAAGCCAATCTTCTTGCTGGATTCTATAAACACTTGCATATTCTTAAAGATATCTGATGCTGTTGAACACAAAAATAATGAAGGAATTTATCTTATTTGTGTGTATTTCACTGTCTGTGTTTTACTAGTTTTCCTCAGATTTCATTTTCTTTGTAGATGATATCTTTTAAGCCATTTGGCAGATGGGATTTTGTGTCATGGGAACTTGAGTTTTGAGTAAGTTATTAGTACATGGATGGTTGCTATGTTTTGGACAAAGTGCTGTCAATTAGATAGCTGATAGCAGATTTGACAAAATTCTTTTGAACTTTTGAGTTAAGGGTGAATTATTCAACACATGGATGGTTTGCTAATTGATAAAAGGCATTAGCTAAAGATTTTGGGCAAAGTGCTGCCAAATGCTAGCTGATAGTAGTTGTGACAAAATGCCTGCAGTGTTGTCAACTTGGTGTAATTTAGACATGTGATACGGAATCACATTGATTTGAAGTTGAAATTTTGTTTGAACATGCAATTTGTAAGAAAAGCAGACTATATATCTAAACCCAATATAGATATGGAGTAAAGGTAATTCAGTTCATCATTAACTAACACGGCAGATATTCGTAACAATTTTAACGCATTGGTAAGCAGCCAAGATTTGAATATATGACATCTAAAGAAAGAAAAGGAAATCAAATAGCAACTCAAAAAAGAACTAAATCATCACCAATATCTTAGCAGTTTTTTTTCTCAATTAAACATCCTGACAGTTCCGACTTAATACTGAACTCTGGAGGCAAAATTTGACAGCAAAAGCAGAGTCTTCTCTATGCCACGAGAGTACTGGCGGTGGTAGATTCACTGCAAATAACAAAAGAAGAAGATATTAGTAACGCAAATCCCCAAAAGAGGACGGGAAAGAGGGGAGAGCAAGATGCTAGTTGATCCTATATCATCCAAGGCGCCAATGAATCATTGAAACTAAAACTTCACATAAACCAATTGGAGCTACTAGAGTGATGAAAGTAAACTGGCAATACGTTAGCTTTGTGGCAGGACATGAAGGTAATTTCATATTGCTATAAAGATTGAAATTGTCCCTTTTCTTTTGTAAGGGCAGAATGAGACCCCTTTTTACAACTGTAAATTGAATACATCTAAAGCTGTGTAAATAGTGCCATCAAAATGCAGCAGAGAATTCATTGCAAACACAAAAACTGCTCGGTAATGAGAAAGTGTAGAGGCAGATCTGAAGGGTCAATTATAACAAGGTTCATCTTAGTAAAACATGAAGATACATAAAGATGCACATGATTCTTTCAGTTTTACTAAACCTATACTATGAAACACAAACCTTAAAAAGTCATAAACAGCACATTGATGTGGATGGCAAGCAAAAAACATCAAAAATGCGGAAAACCGGGAAATCCCCAAGAGCTAGTAGCCTAAAATTCAAAACTCAGTAGATAATGGGCCTGCCCTTCTATCTTTTTCAGACCCTTCTAATTAAATTAAATGTAGCATAGAGTACAGAAGTAGAAGTGGAGAACTCTGCAGGATTAATTTAGCAGACAACTCAAAATATAACAGATACACAATCTGACAGGAACAGAACTCACAGGAATCATATTATGATGATTTAAGCATATAAAAGCTGAAATGCAATGGATGCAGCAGCTTGTGTGAACTAAGAATTGACCCGGGGAGCAAGAGTATTCAATTTTTTCATAAAAACAACAGTCACCAGCTAGAAAGTAATCCAAAACTAAATTCAAAACAACCAAGCATATTCCACATTGACATGCATTGAACACTTAATGATGCAAAAACAAGATTAGACTGGTTTAATATGGTGACTCAGAAGGCACAAAACTAAAGCATGTATATGAGACTACACTTACTACTTCCAGACTGGGGGAAGCTTCTTGGTTTTCTTATAGTAACGAGCAAGACGGTGAATCCTGCTCTCAACAAGAATCAACCTAAACTTGGAATCTTTGTCTTTCCTGTTTCTCTCAAGATGCTTCCGGATTGCAACAGCCTTCTTGATAAGGTGATATAGATCCTCAGGAATCTCAGGAGCAAGTCCTACCATAAAGAAAACAAAAGGTTGGTCAATCACTTCCATTAGACAAGTATTATGAGTATCAACTAATCACTCAACATGCCAAATGAGTACCATGAGCCTTCAAAATTCTGAGAATCTTGCTACCAGTTACACTCTTCACCTGAGCAATCCCATGAGAATCACGAAGTATAACACCAATTTGAGAAGGTGTCAAACCCTTCTTGGCAAACTTGCATATATTATCCTCAACCTGAAACACAAGAAAGTGCATTTTTTTTATTAGAATAACAAAAAGAAAGTGGAACTCAATGTCAAGAAATGATCAGTCAGCTGTGCAATTAATAGTTATCATATTATCTATTGGTATTAACTTGATACTTCCCTGTTTCTCGATCGGACAAACTCCAACAACTTCTATCACAAGTAACAAATATTGAATCAAAATGTTCAAACAGGATTGGAGAAAATTTTCACCTAATTTACCAATACAGACTTTTTTCTGTTCTTATATACACGCAGTGTAGAAACAGCACGACATATTTGTCAGGAATATAACTCAAATAGGCAAAGGGAAAAAACCGTACTTGCTTTTGCACGGTTAGGCACTTGCGCTACAGAATAACACATTTTGCAAGAAACCTCTCATACCTTCATTTCCCTTGATATTAAAATATTTAACTTAGTAATTGGATAAGCTAGCAGGTGGAGTTTTCTAGTAGCTGGCAGTAAACGAGAAGAAAGGCAATCAACGTTGAAATGGGTAAGTATACAAGATAAATGGAGGTGAACACCCTCGAGGTAGATCTTTGATACCAAGCTTTCAGCTACTCAATAAAGTCAGATAACAGGTATTAACTGCGGCACTTCAAATGGAAATTTTCCAAGGCTGCAGATGATTTCTAGGCCATTAAGAAAAAGTCGAGACCTTAAGGACTGGACATGAAACACACTCTATGTACATATTATTTCACAAAACTTACAGAATGGAAGAAAAACAGTGAAGACAAGACACTTGACTCAGACGTAGTAGAATACTAAGCTGGTGTATATCTGAAACTAACGAGGAATGATTAAAAAAATGAGAAAACTTACAACAAAGAGAAGATTATTATACCGAAAACAAAGAGAAGAACAAACGTTTAGTGCTGAGACATGAATCATGATCACCACTAATAAAAATTACACATTTCACAAATACTACTTATCCATAGAATTAAACAAAGCATAATTAGGATTTGTTAAACCTCGACAGTATAATTCACATTTCATCCCAGATAACACAATTATCCAAATACAAATGTTAATCACACAGAAACAGAGCAAAATAAGTTTAGAACAGATTCAATCAAGGATTTACGAAGCTAGCAATTGCTTACATCAGGAGCAGATGTTTTCAACCAACTTGGTGGAGTCCTCTTATACGGAAGTGCTGAAGCTGAAATACCCTTACTGTGAACAACAGAGAGAAATTTACATACAAAATCAGTCAGTATAATGTGTAGTAAAACAATGAAACAAATTGAATACAATAAGGGAGAAGAAAGATTGAACGGACCCTCGACTGTGCATACGACCCATGGCGGCTGACGGCGGTGCTCCGATGTGCGGCGGCTACAGCAGCGAAACCCTAAATTTGTTATTCGCTGGGTAATTATGGGTTTTATATACTACTCTTTCTTTTTTTTCCTCAAAGCAATTTACGGTAATATCCCTTCATTAGACCACCATTTAAATTTTATCCTAATTTTAAAATTGTGTACATATATATAAATTACTATTATCTTTGAAAAATTATTTATCTCAATAATATTAGCTTGAGTCTAATAGTTCTTTACATATAGTTTAATCTTAATGATAAAAATTAAATCATTACCTATGAATTGTAATTTATTTGATAAAATTGTGATATAAATAATGTACAAATTGTCAAAAGAATAAAACCACGAACAAAGTATTTACTAATCAATTGTTAAAAAGAAAAAAGAAAATTAATGAAGGTTACTCCTTCATCAAAATAGGTGTTTGGCCAAAGATTCCAAACATATTAATTTTTTATATATGGACATACAAAATCGATCAGAAAAATGCTCATATATTAATATATACATGTAGAGTTGTCAAAATGGACTTGACCCGTGAGATCGGTCCAATCTAATCCTTGAATTAAGTGGGATTGAACCTAATATTTTTGGCCCACTTAGGAACGAGACTTTTTAGCGCAACCTCACTTGACCTGCTAACCTCGTAGGCCCAACCCGCTAGCCTCAGATCCAGCTCGTGGGATTTGAATATTTAAGAATATTATATATATATATATATATATATATATATATATATATATATATATATATATATAGTAGTGTTTTATTTGTAAATGTTTTATCAACAAATATGTTACACACATAAAAATCAAGTCTTTTAAACTAGCTTGTTTTTTGTGGAAGGAATGGTTGAATGATCAACATTCTTCTGCTAAATTTGACATTGACTATTATGTATTGTGGTAAGCATTCACCGAAGTGTGATATTCATAAATGTACTTCTATAAGTATTCGCTGAAGTATGTGATTCATAAATGAAAAATTATATGTATTAATGTCTGGTTCATAGACGTCAACATTCGATTCTCTTAGAGCCCGTTTGGCCATAAATTTTGCAAGTAAAACTTGGGAAAAAACTTGGCAAATTTTGTTTGTCCATACACTTTTTTATTATTTGGCAAATTTTTTTGGCAAATTTTTCAAATTCCCAAATACTAGAAAAAACTAGTATGTGGGCCAAATTTTCATTATTTGGAAAGTTTTAGAAATTCAATTTTTACCCTTAACCTTGTTTATTTTACAAAAATAATATATTTATTGACACCAATCAATAATTTTTTACGTGAACATCAAAGTAGTGATGGAATATTCAATGAATATGAAAATGATGATATGGTTGTTGGTGAAAGTGACGAACTATTGGCTCAGGGTAACAACATCGCTTCATCTTCTCGATCATCTGATTCGGAAATGCAAGCTCATCGAGAAGAGATTGTTCATAAAATGTGGGAAGATTATATTAAAGAATAGGTTGAACTCTTTCAGATGAGAAAGCATAGGTTCTTCAGTGATTGCAATATTTATTTCCTTTTGTTTTCTTCTTCTTTTTTTTTCCGAATTTATATTAGTTGTATTTTCATTATCATGATTTGTACCAAGACCTTTTCACTATACGAATATTTACTTAATGATTCTTGTTGATTTGTTGCAGAAGTCATAAATCTTGTTACGTGAGATTTCTATTGTGCTATGTAATACAAATTTATGGTTAGTTTGATAGTTTTAAAAACTAATGGGTATAAATCATATTTCTTAAAAAAATGAAATATGTTTCTCAAATTCTATGGCCAAAAACATGGTAAAATTTCACTCAAATTTTCATCCAAATAATATTTGCCAAAAATATTTGAATATCTATGGCCAAACGCTAGCTTAGATATTCCTTCTAAAAGAATAATATTGTTCATTTTTTTGTTGAAGGTTCAATCCGTGGCCCGCTTTAAGGTTGAGTTGGGTTGCTATTTTATTGGTCCTTTAACTAAAAGGATCAGTCCGTCCTAACCATTTAATTCTCTAGTCCGTTAGAATTGGGTTGAGCTAGTCCATTTTGACGGCTCTACGTACGTGATGTTCATAAGTAAAATAGTAGTAAGAATAGAAACGCAACACAAATTTCTACATTTATAACTTTTGTTGAAGAAAAATTGTTCAATTCCTTATAAAAACTCATGTAAAAAATTAAGAAAATTACATTAATTATTAATCATTGCCACAACCAAATTTAATACTGAGATGAGAGAAAGTACTACTAACTTGCGTCAAGAAAAGACAAAATACCGTCATAAAAACGCTGAAAAGCTATTACAATAAATAGTGTAAAAATGTATATTTATATTGTATAAATATGTATCAGTATTGTATAAACAATATATCTATATATTATATATAAATAATATATAAATATGTATCGATTGTTATAAAATCAAGCTCATAAGAATATAATCATAAAGAGAAGAAGACAAGAGAAGTAGATAGTAGAAGAGGAATTTTCTTCTTATTCAAGTGTATGTAAGTCTCATCTGTATCTATATTACAATAGTGAATGAACAACCCTATTTATAGAGTGAGAAATCACTCCAAAGGTCACCATATTAAGTATCATAATAAATAGGTACATTCTTATCCAAAAAGGTTCATGTAACCTAGTGAATATGAATGGTTGTTCATGTACCAACCTTATGGACTATCCACTCATTCAATGAATTTATAACACTCCCCCTTGGATGTCCATAGATAATGTGCCTCGTTAAAACCTTACTAGGAAAAACCCTGTGGGAAAAAATTCTAGTGAAGGAAAAAGAGTACACATATCTTTTGATACGCACTATTTGTTGCCTCATTAAAAACCTTGCTAGGAAAAACCCAGTGGGAAAAAACCTCGGTCAAGGGAAAAAGAGTGCAACGCGTATTATACTCCCCTGATTAAAACATCACTTAATTTCTTGTGATAATGTCTCCAATCTTCGTACATTGTGGTTGGTATATTCTTTTTCAAAGAAAAATCACACATTTCTTGAATATGGTGTGTCACTTATCTCAACCAGACGCATTTTCGACTTGCTTTATGGAGGACTTTTATTTCTGCATAGCAACATTTGTTTCATTGATCGCCAGTATATTATTGTGCCTCCACATGCAAACACATAGCGTTCTTGAGATAGATCTTTATGCGGATCAGATAAATATTCTGCATCTACGTAACCAATCAATTTTGTCTTGGATTCCTCGGGATAGAATAAACCCATAACTATGGTCCTTCGAGGATATTCAATCATGTGCTAAACACCATTTCAATGTCCTTTTATCGGGGAGAAATTGAATCTTGCCAGTAAATTTACTGCAAAACAAATATCTGGTCAAATATTGTTAGTAAGATGCACTAGTGCCCTAATTGCACCAAGATAGAGTTTCATCACCAAGAAACTCTTCATCCTTCTTTTGAGATCAAACTGAATCATCATTTATGCCAAGTGATCTCATAATCATTGGGGTACTCAATGAATGCGATATATCCACATAAAATTGCATCAAAATTTTTCAGTGTATGTGCACTGTTAGACAAATATATTATTTGTCAAATTAACAATCTGTAGGTCAAGACAAAATTTTGTCTTACCAAGACCTTTTCATAAAAATACAAGGACAATTAGGGTCATTCTTTTGTACCCTTTTTCTTCCTTGACTATTTCAATCCATATAAGGATTCTTGAAGCTTTATTGGAAAAGTTTCTTTCAAACTCTTATATGCTTCAGACACCTCGATTGTTTCAAGGATTTTCATATAACCTTCATTGTCTAGCTAGACATTAAAATTATTCATTTACATGCATTCAAGTTTTCATATGTTGCCAGATCAAAACAAACCTCATTTCATCCACCAAAGGAGAAAACATCTCCACTAATGTCAGGATTTTGCGATAAACCTTTATGCCCCAAGGCACAAATCGTATTTGATATCTTACAGTTATACTATCGCATAATAATTTATTTGTACCCCACTGACATTATACCTTGATTTATGGACTACCAGTCCAAAATGTCACTTTTCTAAGTGAAACAAAATATACTTGAATTGTGCATTTTACTTGGCCAACCATTTATCTGTTCACACTATATGACAGATTTGAATTCAAGATCCTCATCACAATTTATATCATTGAGCGCTACCTCATATCAAAGATACCGTCGACGGTTATTTGATATCAATTCCAACAAGACATAACTTATCGAGATCTCTTCATTTTTCATTATTTCAGGTACCTGAACCTTTTTCAAGATTTTATGAATTGTTATGTCAATGTGCTCTTTTATAGCACTTGCCTCATTATCATGACCATATTGATCATTTGCTCCTTCCTTCTTCAAGGAATTTTATATTTGGAATCGATTGGTCTATTACGCTTCCGGCGTATCATAGACTCTGTCCTTCAAGGACTTCACATTGGAGCATTTGCAGCTGAATTATATCATAGGGTCAGTGCATTCATCTGGCAACTGATTTGCAACATTATGCAACTGAATTATCTCTTGAACTTTAAGTTCACATATTTATTTTAACGAGGATCTAGATAATTCATAATTAACCTCACACATAATTTTCAGCTGTCAATCATCTCTCCCCCTAATGTTAGAAAATCTAACATTCATTCCACCCTTATTTGGAAGTTCATCTCTGTGCGTGGTGGAGTAATTAAAATCATAACCGCACATTCAACATTTTAGATGAAAATTATTTGGTTCCTGACCCTGAACCAATTTTAATGGGGAAGCCTTGTTGGTTTGATGCATACATGTGTTGCTACATGTTAAACAAAATTATCTCATACCAAATCTTATTTGGGAGTTTTGTTCTCATAACCATGATTTAGCTATAATTGGAGGCATACAATTTCTGCTAAATCAACCAGCATTATCAATATAATTTCATAATTTGGAACTATTTCAACCTTACAAAAACCAATTTGTAAGTTGACAACAGAATACATGTGACCATCGCATAGATGCATTAATCATATAGTTGCAAATGATCCACATGACAGGTGAACGGGCCCATATTCACCCTTTTATATGTTCCAAAAATTTTAGGGGATTACAGTTCCGATCTTAGCTGGTA